TTTTTTTAGAAAATCTGGATGTTTTGCTCATTAATTTTGTTGGAACAGTGTAGATTGACCCTGAGGTTCTGGCGCCTATCCGCTTTCGGCCACCCCTCAGTGTACATTGGTTATTGCCTGGCCACTAAGGCTGGGTTAAAAAAATCGATTTAATCAATTTTGAATCGATTCCTTTACATTTTTGCAAAATCGATGTCTAGGGAATGAGATCGATTAGTTATATAGTGAAGCACATGACGTTCACATTTAAATGGGCAGGAAAGATGCACTCAAGATTACTTCAAGCCAGACAGCTGCAAATATATCCAATAGGTTGACTGAAGACATTAACAAATTGGGACTGACCAGCAAACACCCTGTAGTTGTTACAGACACCACTGCAAATATGGTTTGTGCAGTGAAGATAATGCAGCTCATGCATGCCTGCTGTGTTCCTGTTGTGTCACGTCTGCTTGCTCGAGTGGGGCTTCACTTTTTCACTTTTCACAAACAAGTTTGCACTTTTGAGACAGTTTTGTTCACATCTCAGGTTTAAACGGTCCGATTTACAAGTTTGCATTTTGTATTTAATATGACAGGAAATAAAAAACACGAGTTAGTATTTTAAAACACAGTTGAACCACTTTCATTATAGTAAAAACAGATCGAATCAAACTTAATTGATTTAGAACTGAATGAATCAAAATCGAATCGATTCAGGACTTTGGTGAAAATACCCAGCCCTAATGTCCACCCTTATGAAAAATGTATGGCTACGCCTCTGAATTGAAGTGAGGGGAAAAAAATACTAACAACAGTCTAATTGAGCAGTCATTTGAAATCGAGTCATATGAGAACCCGGACAATTTGAAAAAGGAAATTAATGTCCATCATCCAGTGTCGTCTCTGTTTAGCCTGATTTCCAAAGGGCTGTTTATCATATATGAAATGTATCAGGAAGTATCTTTCATTTGTTTGATTATTTCAATTAGAATAATGTATCTTATGTTATGTATCTACTTACTCTTTAAAGTACCAAATGAAGATGAAGTAATAGCGTCTAATATATATCCCACAGGACATATACACTGCATGATTACAGTTTTAGAAATACTTCCACTGAAATAATAACTCAAACATCAATTCAGTCCAAATACAAAAATACAAACTTATTTAGACATTTAATTGGATCCTTACCTCCATCTGTTGATGCCCACACTGGAGGAACCAGCGAACCAGGGGTCCAGGATGTAGATGCACCGCAAAGTGTCCGCTCTCTGGATGGAGGCCCTCAGAGCAGGGTTGTCATGGAGACGTAGACCCTTTCTAAACCAGTGGATGGTGTTGACACCCATGACGTCCTAATTGAGATCAACGTGGGAAATAAAGGAGGGTGGTACCCCAGGGAAAAAAATAACAAAACAAAGCAAATGGGATGTCCCTTTAAGATTTTCCCTGGATATAATAACAAAACTGGAATATGTAGTTTTAAAACTGCTCGGTAGCTCTTAGTAACATCAAAGTTTGACCGCACTCCATGACTTTAAGCAGAGTTGCAGAGCACCATGTGCGGAAGGAAGGTAAACAATAAACAAGTAGGAAAACAGGCAGAAGTATAATCAACCTTACTTTTCAAATGGAAAAGGAAATAATTTCCAAATGAATGAACGTCCAAATACTAATTAAAAATTAAAGGAAAAAAAAAACAGCGTAGAAAAAGCACGCACTACCTGCCTACCAGATGTCCCTCCCGTGTCAACATCTCCGCCCACAGGAACACAGAGCGAGAAACCTGCGCTCTGATTGGTCCAAACCGGATGTTATGTAAGCTTTACATCCTCACGTTTCCGTAATGTGCTTTACAATCATCGTTTAAAATGTGTTTTCTGCTGTTTTGCATTTTCCAAATATTATTTTAAGGTCTTAAATCGCAGTGGTTTGTGTCACAATTAATTTTTTTGTAGCGTAAAACCGTAAAACAACCAAAAGAAATGCATTTTATGCAGCAAATCAAAGGCGTCAGTTAGAATTATGTGGTTACACATTAGGACCCGGATGATCACATGCCGCACGACGAGGCTCCTCATAGTTGGTGCGTTTAATTGAACAGTTTGCCATGTCGGCCATGGCCTTCCCTGTAATCTCACAGCAGCGATAATCTCAAACCAACGTGAGCCACTTTGATTTACATAAAACTTTCAGCTGTGACAGGAAACCTGTAAGCAGGGGCGCTGCGAGGAATGTGGGGCCCCATGAAAGACATTGATATTGACCCACAAAAAAAAAAAAAAAATGCAAGCTTTAACCCTGTAATGCCAAATGTATCATATTTGATACATACGGTTTCTTAAATGTTTTGCGTCTGACACCTTTTGCATAATTTAATGGTAAAAACTTTGCTCAAAATCCTATTGTACACAATCAGATATACCTGATAACAGAGGGCAGAAGACTACACAAAAAATAATCTTGACTTATCGCATAGTAATAAATTATTGATATCAAAAATTTATTTCTGTTTTTTCTTTTTACATATTTTGTTAAAAGGCCAAATAAGGACTTCAAACCAAAAAAAGTAATTTTCTGTTTTGTTTTATTCTTGGATCGGGCTTTAAAGGGTTAAATCTGCTATAAAAATGGACCGAAGAGCATCATCGACATTTTCAATGTCATTTTCACTGTACAATTTCAACGGATAAAAATTATCCTCACACTAAAACTTTATATAAAAAAATCTTCCTCTCAAAAATAATAACAGCTTATTTAGAACAACAACAACAAAAAATATTCATCTTTGTACGCATGAAAAGAAAATAGGTTTTAGATTTTGAAAATATGTTCCTATTTTTTTACTATAAATTTCAACAAAGGACAGAATATTTTTATGCTGAGAATGCATTTTTTATTTATGTATAGATCTGATAATAACGGTCAATATATTAATGCTTTGTGTTGCTGTTTAATCCTGAAAGATCAGGGATATAACAAAGATAATTTATTTTACTGCAGATTTTCTTTTTATATTTGAAATATTTAGCAGGACATATTTCTTTTCTTCTTCTTTTGGCTCCCCCATCAGTCAAGGGCCCTTGGAATCTTCCAAGCTAAGCATACGACAGTGGATGATTTCATGGTATTAGTGAAAGAAAGCCATATCATGTAATGGCAACATTTATATAATGTAAAGATGTCCTCTGCTTTCTGAAGCTCTTTGGTCTTGAATATTTTATAGCACAGATCGTTCAAATTAAGCTAATTAAATTACAGGCATGTGAAAGATGGCACAACCAGCGACATGTGATTTTTCTAATATTTGTTAATACATATAGCTTTCAACATTCCTAGGACTGTGTTCCATAGCAAGCCCACCCAGAAAAGTGACCACAAATACCAACTATCTTAAAACTCCTAAAATGTTATCACATGACCTACAGTAGGCTTTGGCTATAGTTGCAATGATAGCAAATGCTTCCACTATAGGATTGGAAGACATGTTTGCCATGAACTACATTCACCACTACACAAAAAATGACCCAATTCTAAGTGCAAAACATATAGCCTAGCTTGTGTTATGTTTTGGGGATGCTGTGCTGCAGCAGGACTTCCATCAGTTCAGCCATAAATAAAAGCCTGCCTGAGGAATAGATAAGAAAGGTGGATAGCCAGCATTTCCACAAACTTGTTTCAATCAAATGTGGTAAAACTAGCTATGGTTGTAGGATGTCCCAACCTTTTACTCAGAATACACATTTGTAGTTTTTGTATCACTTTTTTCTCCTCCATTAATCCAAAAAAGATTATACTTTGGCCAAAATAAATTAAATGTTTGAAAATTGTGATTCGTGATGGGGGAATCAGATTATGTTAAATTAATGTTATTTTACGGCTAATTTTTCTTGTTTTAGATCTATGAACAACCAAGAAATGCTTATGAAGCACCTGAAATTGACAGAAATATCAGCAGCTTCTTGTTCTTGTTCTTCTTCATTGGTGCTGTCAGTCTGTTTTTTGTTTAGGAACTAACATTTTGTAGAAAACTCCAACTAAGAAACTTTATCAGAAGGGGACTCTTGTTAAGTTAAAATTTAAATTATATATAAGATTATGGTGCCACATTTCAGACCACTAATAATTCCTTTAAAGGAAATATAATCAAAGAATAGTTCTAGCTATACTTTAAAGTTGGTCGGAGCTTCTTATGAACTTTTGAAAAGTATCTGTGCCTTTTTTGCTGGGGTATAACTATGCAAAGACTTAGAAGATCAATACTTTCAGCAATTAGCCAAAAAGATGAGCTGAGAACCTATATATATATTTTTTACACCTTGTCTCCTTGTACTAATAGCAGGATGTTAGCAGCATAGAAAAATAGACTCTTAGAAGAGAAGTACCTGAAGAATGGAACAACTATTATTTGCTATCTTGATGTCCATTGGTTGTTTGGGAGCCATAGAAGTAAAAAGCTTTTCAAGTTCTATCAAAACAAATGCAAGAATGGTTGTTAAACGTGTTGTATACATTGGTCAGATGAGGCTACAGATAGGGTTTTGACAACAGACACTACAGGAGAGTTTAGGCTGACACAAAGGGTGTTGTGCAACACAATGTATGGAAAACACCCCATTTTCACTACTTAATATGATGGAGGATCTGCGGGGCTATGGACCTGTTTGTTGCACACAGACTGAGGGAACTTTGTTAGAGTGAATAGCATTACTACTTAATAAAATATAAAAATCTGTTGGCTTCTGCCATAAAAAAGTGAATTGTTAATTGATATTTTAGCAGGATGATAATCAAAATTTGTACCTAGTTTAATGCAGAAATGTTTCACTAGACAGAAAATTTAAGTCTTTTATGTTCATCTTTGTCCTCAGGCACAAATCCTTCAAAACAGTTTTTGGTGAGCAGAAAAATGCATTAGAGGTGAAGCAGAACTATTAATAAGAAAATCTACCAAGATTTCCAATTGATTGACAACTAATTTGGAAATTCCTAAATACAAAGCAAAAAATATCAGTTTGCTAACTGGAATAGTGAAGGATAACGGTTAAAGAGTGTTATATAGTATGAGTTTCTGCAAATATTAAAAAATGAAATTGCGTTCATATGGCCACTTTTTATTATTTTGTTACCTTTAGCTAATCACTGAAGGTGGTTTCAATAATTAGCTCCTGCAAAGGTAATTAATTATCTACTAATTATCATTAGACGCTATTTTTCAAAGGAGATGGGATGTGTTTTTGACTTTAGACTTTCTGATCCCTCACCACCTTTGCAGAAAACAATCCCTGTCAAAGTAACTAATGTTACTGTGTTTTATTTTCTTTGATATATCTTCAAATTTCAAGGCCACCATTTTATTAATTAATATAAACACGATTGGCTTTACAAACCTAACACAATGTTTGGTTGTATTTGTTGCAGCCTTAAATTGACACTAGATGGCAGTCTGATTAAGGAATTAATATGTGGTGCTTTGAAACAGACAGCCTGGTTCTCCAGTTACTGTTGTGTCTTTATCTCTTCTTTAAAATGTAACAATATGAATACCTGTATACTTTTATCAAAGCTACAGTAGAATAATGACCTTATAGCTAAAGGTAATTATTTTGGTTTTTATTTGACTTTCTAAGACAAACTTGGCCTTAGTCAACTGACTTACACATTGGGGGCTTATTTAGAACATCATGGTTTCTAGATTTCTGTGCAAGCTAGTATTATGACATTCCAGCAAATCTTTCTCTTTACACAAGTTATAAAGTATAAGTTTATAAAGTTTATAATTTAGATAATTTAGATTTATATTTTGTACAAATTGAGGAAAACACTTTGTTAATAAATAAACAGACCAATCAGTCTAGATTGGGTCATTTCATTCTGGAATAATCTAGTAGGAGGAACACCAGAACAACATCCAATAAACCATAGCAACACCATGGTTGAAAACCAGGTCACTGGTTTGTGCCAAGGCTGCTTGGAGGGTTTTAATTAGATGAATGATTTTGCCACCAAAGAAGCTTTGTTCTCTATCCTCATGCTGACCTGCCAGAAGTATTTCAATGTAGTTCTTTTGCTTAAAAGGTCGATTTTAAAACTCATATTCAGTAGAACTTCAACAATTTCAGCTAAACACTTAGGTCATAGATTTAAGTTATGTTAATTTAATCAGTTTTTCAAAAAACAAAAAAACAAAACAGGGAGTTAGTGTTTAGTGAAATGAAGCATTTGATAATGTTGCCAAAATATGTAACTGCCATCAAAACAACTCACTATTCTGTTAGGCCCACTCATTTTTAAAGCTTGCTAACAGTTTATAATCAGGAAACCCACAAATATGACATAATATTGTCTTCTCTAATGAACCACTGAAGCAAATTTCACCTTTGGCTAAGCCAAACCAGCAAACAATTCTGGATGTTGCTGTTTATTTGTTAGTAGGTCAAAATATTTTGAGGCAAATGAAAATACAATAAGGTTTGTTAGTCTCATCTTGTTTTTGAGGTAGAACATAGATGTACAATACAACATCTTTTTTACTCTGTGCAGCCTCTAATAGGTTTAATCAGGAACTGCCTCATTGTTACATTATCTCCATGTGTTTATCAACTCTAACCAGCTCTCCTGTTCCTGCAGACAAAATGTAACTGTATTGTATGACAATGACACACTCATGTCTCAGGGCAATATTTATATTTATATTTACAGCGTTTTATCTGTAGGAAGAGAAGCCTTATTCATTGAATCCCTGATGCATAATCTCAATGTCCATTAATTAGGGATGATGCATAAGATGCAGCAAACAACTACCCTGTACCCTTTAAATGTAATCATAAATGCTTTTATTCCCATTTTTGTAACAACTACAGTCATCATTGTAAAGGTTCTTTTGCAGAGATCTGTATTGGAAAAATTAAATAGTTTATTGCAGACTTATGCGCCATATGATTTTTTCTAAATGTTTGAGAATGCGACTTGTATGGAGCAAACCGGTTGTTATCCTTTAAAAACACCAGGGTTCACTGTTGCTCCAGACACATTTCGACTCTGCTGAGAAATGCAGTAGAACTACCTTCCTACTGCATCTGTGATGTAAACTCATCCTAGCGCAGAGTTTCAGTTTCAAAGCACCAGTTTACATTATTTTTGTTCTGGTGCTTTGTTGCCTGACCTCAGCATGTTCCTCTGTCTGAATTTACCAAATCCCCCCCTTTTTTTCTTTTTTTTTTTTTTTACTATTAGCACTGCATATATCTTATCCTCCACATGTCCCAGCTCCAGTTTCCTTCTAGATTTCTTATCAGAACCTTTTGTTTGTTGGATGTGCTGTGAAGGTAGAGGTCCTTAAGCTGAACTTCACTTGAAATTCACTCAGAGCACATGTAGTTAAAAAAATGCAAATATTTACAATGAATTCTCCTTCAGAGAAACAAGGATTGCATTATGCATGCAATCTATTATTAATGGCCTTGAATCATGTTACCATCAGACATGGGCCCATATAGCCTGATACTCTTTCAAATCGTCCCCTACACATGATCCCATTTAGGCAGGTGCTTTTACTTTGCAACCTTTACACGATACAGTTAAGTTTGTATTTCATTTTACCTTACATAGGTTCTATTATTTCTATTATGCAGTTAAATAAGCATGCACAAAAAAACCCATAGTAAATAAAAAAAAAGCTGACAGTTTGTTTACAGGATTTACAGTTCAGTGTCTCATGTTTATTTTTTTTCTTGTTTTGTTCTGTCATGAGCTTCATTACTTTTATTGATCTTTTAAAGCAATCCAATTAAAACTCTTTGCTGCGCCTTCCCAAGAGTCTATTGGCTGAGGGGTTCTCTCAGTTCCCCAGAGCCCCGCCTCCATCTGTCAGGCTCTGCGTTGGTACAGCATCGTTGATGCACTGAAGTAAAATACTGCAATTTAACTTTCAACTCCAGGATTGGATGGACTTTCCAAGGAAAAAAAAAAAAAAAAGATCCAGTGAGCATAACCCGCGCAAGGAGTACCAGAACATCAACGTTTTGAACATTTCCTCCTACTTTTCCTAAGCTCTTCTTTCTTACAGTATGAAGTGCAGTTATGGCAAGGAGTAGCAAGTCAGCAGCAAGGACCCTGGAGGATTTGACGCTAGATTCTGGTTATGGTGGAGCCGCAGACTCCTTCAGATCATCCAGTGCGTCTCTGTGTTGCTCAGAGGCACATGGGGGGAATTACTGGCATCTAACCGACTCAATGCACAGTCGACACAACAGTCTGGACACTGTTAACACGGTCCTGGTTGAGGACGCCGAGATCCTGGAGTGCAGCGGCCAGTGCGCTAAACTACCCGAGCTTGAGGATGTGCCGTGGAGCCTCGGGGAAGTGGCAAGCGCGCTGAACAAGGACGAGGAGATGAGCCTGCCGACACCTCCCCAGGACGTCCTGCTCAGGCTTTCACTGCTGGTCAGCCGCGTCCTGGTCAGGGTAGCCAAGGAGGCGCAGCGCCTGAGTTTGCGCTACGCCAAATGCACTAAATACGAGATCCAAAGTGCCATAAAGATCATCCTGTCATGGAGCGTCTCGATGAGCTGCATCGGCGCGGCCGTCAGTGCCTTGTCCATGTACAGTATGAGCACGGATGAGGATAAGTTCGGCCGCGGGAAGTCGGCGCGCTGCGGGCTCATCTTCAACGTGGGAAAGTTCTTCAGGTGGATGGTGGACAGCAGGGTGGCGGTCAGGATCCACGAGCATGCGGCCATCTACCTGGCCGCGAGCATGGAGGGCCTCTTCAGAGAGGTGTACGCGCGGGTGCTGCGCAGTGCGCTGCTGGAGCGCGACAACGGGATCCCCAAGTTCACCGTGGATATCGTGGATCAGGCCATCAACGGCGACGCAGAGGTGTGGGGGTCTGTGCAGCCCTGGCAACACCTGATCTGTGGGAAGAATGCGAGCGGTGAGTTATGAAGCCTGGAAGTTGGTGCAACAGGGTGTTCCTACACTTCATCACCTACCATACTCTTGGAACAATATATATATATATATATATATATATATATATATATATATATATATATATATATATATATATATATATATATATATATATGGAGCTGTTGTTTACAAATAACACTCACAAAGGCAAAGGCGTTATGATAATATTCAATAGTGATGTGTATTTTTTTTTCCAAAGCAGGGTTTTTTTTGTTCTTATTGTTTCTATAAAGATGAATACAAATTTTGAACCTAATGCAGGCAATTGCAATGCTGCACATCGCAGGAGCACAAGAGTATGCAAGCAAGTAATGAATGACTAAAAAGGAATGTGATGTAAGAGAGGAGGAAAAAAGGTAGTTACTCTGTAACCACCTTGCCTCCCTTTATCTCCAGACACCATAGACACAACTGCCTGATATAAATCTTAGATTGTGTCCAGTTGTTTTTTTAATGTGCATACTGATAAGGATAGGGCCAATATCCTTAGAATCAGGGAGTCATACTTAGAGCTTTTTTGGTGTTCAGTGATTTTACCTGGGGGTCGGGGGGGTTTCATTCATTTGTATGTTGATTAGTACAGAAAGATTGACAGATTCTGTGTTCAATTCATTGCTTCAAATTTAAAAAACTGTGTATTTTACCTCGAGCTTCATCAATAAAATGTCAAACACATCTCCAACAAAAGCCTGCAAGGTAATGATGGATGCTCTCCTTGCAACAAGTTTACATAATGAACCTGTGTGCTGCAATGCATTATTCAATGTGATGTAAATAAAACAGCTTCAGAGTGAATGAGAGAGGGGTAGGACAGGCAGGAAGCTAGAAAGACTCCGACTGTTTTTATGAATCACTTAGAGGAACCTGTCATTTTGTTGTGAATGGTTGCCTTTACTGTTCCATTTGTTTTTTATGCCGGTTAGGGTAGAACACATTTCCATTTTTAACTAGTAGGAGCAGTGACATATTGTCAAATGTTTCTTTTGGATAGCTTGAGTTATTGTTCCACTGCTCTCATATTATAACAAACTCTACAAAAACCGACAGACAAGTGCTCTGCAGTTGGATATCAATGCAGGATGGATATACTCATTGTTTTGCTTTGTTGCATCACCATGTGTAAATTTGCAGCTCACTTGGCCAGTGTCCAAGCCTCCACCTCTGGAAAAGGTCTATACATAACTCATTAGTGCATGTGCATAAAACTCAAGTTATGTTACAGTGTCACATATTAAGAAAAACCCCTGTGCCAAGTACTTTTTTATAACAGTGGATTCAATCCAGATATAGAATAGAATAGAACAAAATAGAATAGAATAAAAAAAATCCCTTTATTGTCCCACAATGGGGATATTCTGGTGTCTACAGCAGTAAAAAGATTATAGAAAAATGGTCACACAAATGTGGATCTTAGAAAAAAATGTAAAAGAATAACATAATAATGAAGAGTTAAAGATAAACAACAAAATACTGTACTGTAAATGTTTTAACGATATAAAAAACTGTGCACCTGGAGAATAAATAACCAATATACAGCCCTGCAAATTTTTACAGTAATGGATATTTGAAAATAGCAGCAACATCAGAGATGTACAAAATGACAGCAGCATGTTATTTAACTTACTAAGATAGAAACTGTGCAAAATCAGCATGAATGTAGCAACTTATTGAGGTTGTTTGGAACAGGGGTGGTTATAAAGTATTACAGCTGCTGGGAGGAAGGATCTGTGATAATGGTGCATTTAGGGTGCAGCAGTCTGTCACTGAAGGAGCTCTCCAGTTCTGCAACATTTTCGTGCATGGGGTGGGAGACATTGTCTAAAAAAAATGTTAATTTAGTTAGGATCCTTTTGTTTCCCACCTCCTGCAGAGGGCATCCAAATCAGAGAGTTGGCCTTCCTGATCAGCTTATCTAGTCGCTTTCTTTCAGCTACAGATAAACCACTGCTCCAGCCAAAGAGTCTTTATGAGCTCCCCCTGCACTCCAAAAGACCTCAGTCTTCTCAGCAGGAAGAGTCTGATCTGATCTTTCTTATACACAGCTGTTGTGAGTCCAGTCCAGTTTGTTATTTAGATAAACACCTTGGTGCTTACAAGAGGTATTAATATACATTATAAAGGAAAAAGTTTACTTGTTTTATAACCAGATATTAATTTCTCAGTTTTAAATTGCTGTTACTCATTGTTTTTGTTGGCTCACTTGTATGCTTTTTTTGGTTGATGCTCTTTTATTTATTAATGTAACTCTTTGAGTTTTAGTCGAAGATCTTCAACTACATGCAGAGTAATCTAACACCAAACACACTAGGTTAGCATTATCGAAAATATTATGGATTTAAGAAAGATGGGAAATGTGTTTTTCCATTTCTATTTGTACTTGCTCTTAAGGACAATATTTTTAGTGTCACATTTGGTAAGTCAAATGTCCTGCAGAAACTTTGACCTATTTGCATTTTTTACTGTTTGTATCTCATTCAATTATTGCACCCAAAGTATTGTCCAAAATACATTTTTGATCATATTCTCCTTGTATTTCAATAAAGAGAATTACATTTTATTTAGTTTGTCTCGCCATAAAGGTTGTCTTGCCCCATTCACCTTGACAGTATTTCAGTTTACCTACATAGTACCATAGAAAAACTGATCTCAAAGCGATTTGGAAAGAAAATAGATCCAAGTTTTATCAAATCAGACCAACAATTAAACAGTTGGAGATTTAGCATCTTTTTAAAATTGATGTTGTTTTAAATCCAATTTTGCTCATATTGCCTATTGGTAAAAGTTTGTCAACAGCTTTGAGTCATCGGGTTTGCAGCAATGTCATTGACCAAGCAAGCATGTGATGAAAGTGGAAAGGACAGACCAGCTTTTAGTAGGAAGAAACCACCACTGGAGGTGCACTCATTTGGGACATCCATTTTGGTGTTGTATTGGCGTATTTGTTGTTGTGTGTATGTTTTAATACTCGTACACACAAAAACATTTGCCATGTAAAAAAACATCCATATTTAAGGAGGCAGTATATCTTTTAGTAGATCTACTGTAGATGATTTTGATTTCCGACCTTTGTGGATTGTGCTTCCACTGCTGTCTTTGATGTCTGACGTAGGTGTATCGCAATCCCTTCATAGCCTTATAGCTTATAGTCATAATAGGCAGTGGTTTCCAGTAAAACTTAGCCGCCAGTCAAGCAGTTTTCTGAGAAGAAAAAAAAAGAAATAATAATAATGTATATAATATCCATCTTACTAATGCCTTCACAGCCTTAAGTAATAATGGGATTACCAATGTTTTGGTTGAAGTTCTGCTTGAAGTCTTTTTTGGTCAGAGTTAATCAAAATTTATTTATTTATTTATTTTTTTTGAATTTGCAATATTCCAAAAGACTAAATAAAATCTGTTAATGTTAGCTCTCAAGCAGAGACTGAACTGAACATTTTTTGCAAACTGTTCATGATTTAATCTCATTTTATGACAGCCCATAGCTGTTGTTTTAAAACATGCTTAGATTTGTTTTAAATACTAAATTGAAAAATAATCAAGCCTGGAGGTTAATGGGGCTGTAGTGTCCTTTGGCCTTAAGTGATCCCCAAAATTAAATTCTGCTTCAGCCATTTAAAAACCGTGGGTTAACTCTACATAAAACTATTCAATGCAAGTAAAATTACTGTAATTCGGTTCAATTTATTTTTTATCACTTTTCACAGCAAAAATCCTCTCATGATACTTAAAGAACACTCCCCAGAAATCAAAATCTTTATCGTTAGGCTAGGGCACTTCATGTTGTGTTTAGGTAAATTACAATTTGTCGATAGATACTGGAGTGGATTATTTATGAACATGTATGTTAGGTGGTTTATTCTGAAATGGTTAGACCTCCTATATGCTTAAACTTCCTCTTGCTTTCATCTTCAGTGACAGAGAAAGCTAAAACAGTGTCATTTTTCTTCTCCTCCTGCCAAAACCGAATCAGTAAGGCGGAGGCTGGATAGGCCTTAACGGAGCTTCTGCCCGCAAAATTGAACCCTCTATCGCTTCATTCATTCTATTTGTCTCCGTTTGCCAAGTGGGAGTTACTGCGGTGTGTTTTTTGTCTATTAGGCCATGATACTCGGGACCCAGCTTTGTGGGGAGGCTTTTATGAATATCTTTATTGCATCTCATCCACCAAAGACGATTTCCATTTCTGTGCTGTCAGAAATCCAATAAGGTTGTTACCTCAGTGGGTGCATTCATGTCTTGTCTTTATCTTAGTGACGAGGTTACATGAGAAAAAAAAGTAGGGACACATCCTGTTCAGTAATCTTGAACAAGCAAATTATTTACCTTCATCTGAAGATTATCATATTTTTTGTTCTTCTTTTGTTCTTTTAACAAAGTTTAATTATTTAAACAAATGGAAAACACAATTTTAAACTTTCAGGCAACATTCATAGCTTTAAGAAATAATTATTTAGCACTTTAACACTCCTAATTAGGACTTTTCTAATAAAAAAAAAGTTTTTCTAGGTGGAGACTATATTCAATTTAGTTTCATCACTTACAGGGGACATGGACAACTGACAACTGATGGTCTCTTCATCATGACATGTTAGCAGGTGGGATCTGCTAACAGCAAGTCTTTTTTTTTCTACGATTGGACCTCTTAACGGAATGAATTGTCAATTGTGAGGATTTGAGATTCATTTGGATGATTTGAAGTATGATGCTAGGCAGCTGGCTCAGTGGATCTCCAAATTACAGCTCTTGTTGGGTGTTGCTAGACTGCAGTGTTCGGTATCTGTTAAAAGAGGCTTAAGGAATGAGCCAGGGTGTTTCAAGGGAAAGAGGTTTAAATACACTGAGTTTCAGAGTCGGTACGGAGACCAGCAAGGGTACTCATGCTAAGCAATCCCTATTTGTGGTAATGTGATACTTTGGTGGGGCAGCCAATAGTGTTTTTCATTTAAGATAAATCTATCA